CTGGAAAGCAGTTCAAATAACCAGCTGAGGGTAATGTCCCACTGACACATCGGGGTGTGCTTGTGGTTCCTGTGTCAGGAGATCAGAGTGTTTTATGCTGCACTGTGACCTAACAAAAAGCAGGTAGGAACACAGAAGTGACTCACCCAAGAGAAGAGTCTGTGCCAGTGCTTGCTTGGGCAGAGAAGGCAGAGCCTGAAGCACTGGGGATGAAGAAGGGGAGTTTTGACCATGCTGTTACACTGACTGGGCTGTGCTGGTGGACAGGATGAAGGGCTCTGAGCTCCAGCTTGTGTCTGAACTCTGTGGTTCAAGCCTGGAGGAGAGGAATGTGCCCTTGGCCACCACCTGTGCCCATTCAGATTTATTACATTGGTGCAGCTTTTTGGGATGTCTTGCTAGCAGGACACTTTACAGATGCTGCACATAGGGTCTGTGGAACAAAACATGCCCTGGTTAAATGGATTTCTCATTCTACACTTACAAACATCAGCATCCAAAAGATTTGATGGGTTTCCTGCTCTCCTTGTCATGTCACCCCAGGATGACTTGTCCTCCTCCTAGTCCTGTAATGATTGAGAGTGGGTGGGAACTGAAGAAAAAGAAGGAATTGAGCTGGGAGCCAGGATAGAAATGTGGGTGAATAGGGAGAAGGGAGGAGTTGGTTTCCTCTCCAGGAACCTTGAGGGGAGCCCCAGGGATGTTAGTGAGGCTGCAGTCTGTGCACTTGGAGGACCTTTCCCTTAGAGAAGAGGCCAGCTCACGAGACAAGAACCTGTGAAGCTGTGGTGGTGTTTGTCCTTCCTCCAGATGGTCTGGCCTCTCATCAACCCCTGGGAATGCTGTCCCAGGTCCCATAGCTGGCCTCAACTTGTCACCCCTCTGTGCTTTGCAGGAGACAGCTTTTTTCCTTCTCTCCATGAACTTTTTTCTGAGGCTTTCTGTGGGGGAATCATTCAAATTTCCCTCTTAGGAACCTCCAGAACACTCATGAGCTGGGGAGCCAAGCAGTGCTGTAGCAGGAAAGACAATTAATGAGATACCTCGTTTAACTTTGGGGAAAGAGAGAAGCAAAGACACCTTTGCAGGATCTCCAGCTTGTGCTCTGATGCTTTCAAGTCTGGATGTTTCAGCCTGGCTCAGCTCTGGGCTTGAGCTCTGTAAAATGAGTAAATGGTGTGAGCTGCTCACAAAGTGGACACTGGACACCCTTAATATTTATCTCTGATGTAAATCTCAGGCTTTGGCAGCCTAAAATGCTCTCTTTAGGCCAGTGCATCCCAGTTACAAACTCACAGTGCTGGTTTTTTGCTGCTGCCACCGAGACCCACACTGGTGCTTTGAAGCACCTGGCGCTTCAGTTTCCTGTGTGGAATGTCAGGAGACTGGGAATTTGGCCACTTGGATCTCAGGGTTTTGTTTTTCAAGCAGGCCTGGTAGTTTATTGTCTTGCCTTGTTTAAAAGCCAGTGATTCAAAGCAGCTGTGTGTCCCAGAGAAGAACTAACCCAATGTCACAGGGGACACTGCAGTGAAAAAATGTTATTTGGGAGACTCCACATTATGTTTGTATAATACTGAGGAATTTCCCTGGAACTGAGTGCCAGGTGGCTGCAGGTAGCCAAGTGGCTAGCTGCACTGGCAAGGTAAGGTTAGAAAAGTTTCCTCTGAGTTGGGATGTGCATGGTCAGCACTGCAGAGTTAAATGCTGCTTCACCAGCTCTCAAACAACCTTTCATGCAGAGTCACAGAGTCACAAGGTGCCTATTACAGAAAGCCCAGGATGTGTTTCTTGTGCTTCATGCTCTCTTCCTTCTCAGTATGCATGTTTCAGATCTGTAATTAATGGCTGGTTTGAGGGACAGATTCTCCAAGGTATTTAGGTATGTGGAAGTCATGCACTGCTGAGACACTCAGAGCCAGGTAAGAGTGCCAAATCTGTTTTCAGAGTCTCAGTAGGTGCCTGTTTCCTCTCTAGATGTCTTAAGTGCATTCCTGAATCTAGGCTAAGTTGTGAAATCTGAAGTTCCCACAACCAGAAGGTTTGGTTGTTATTACTTGACATTACATTTGCTTTGTAGTGTAAGAAAGACAAAGCCCCTTTGGATGGTTGAGCAATGAGGAGATCGTGGCTGTTCCTTACTGCTGTCTTAGTGATCTCTTGCTGCCTGTCACCAAACTTCTTTCTCCTAAGCTTCATCTGATCTGCAAAATTCCCACGTGGATAGGAAGGCACTGTTTGCCAGAGGAGGATGAGAGATATCTTTGTGTATTCCTGTTTCCACAAAGGAGATTTTGTTGCAGAAGAGATTTGAAATAATTTGAAAGTTCCTGACAGCATTCCAGATACAAGTTATGCAATTTTCCTTTTTCTGGTTTTACTTCTCTGTTGTTGGTTTTGTTGTAGCTTTTGCATCCTAACAGTATTTGCTGGGAAGGAAGTATTTTATCTTTGTAAAACACCTGAGAATTATAACACAAAGTGTTCAGACTCAATCTGAGAAGCACACAAGGCTTCAGCCTCTTTTGTGACCATAAAGCAGTGTGGAGGATTTCTGGGTCTCTCTGCTCTGCTCTCCAGACCTGGCTGCCCCTGTGTAAGGGAAAACTCTTTGAGCAACATTTCCTGAGCTGTCTCTTAAAGCACTACCACTTCTGTTTCTCCACAGGCCTCAAAGATGACAAGGACCTGAAGTTCCTCCTGAAAGGCAGCCAGCTGCTGAAAGTGAAGTCAAGCTCCTGGAGAAAGGAGAGGTTCTATAAGCTCCAGGAGGACTGCAAAACCATATGGCAGGAGTCAAAGAAGGTGCTGAGATCCCCAGAGTCACAGATCTGTGAGTAAAGTTTGCTTTGTCAGGGGTGCCTGGGGTGAACCAGGACCATTAGGGAGGGTTTGGAGCAATGAGAGCTGGTCCTTCATTCCTCCTGTGACACACACACCGAGTGATGCTGGCGCCTCTGGGACAGCCATGAGGAATCTGTGGTGTCAGGAATGGTCACGTTGCCCAAGCTCACGAGCTGCTGCTTCACATGGTTGTGGGGTGGGCTGTGCTGGTCTCAGCAGCCTTGCCTGGTTTGTTTCCTCCCCAAATTGTGCAGGTCACTCAGGTGTTCGAGTTCAAATGCTCAGTGTGAGACGTGGTATGAACACTTGTGGTGTGGCATGTGGCTGTTGCTCCTTTCCTGCCTGCAGCCCCAGGGAAAAGTGGCATTTCAGCCTCACAAGGGAACTGCAGAGATGTGGAAATCCAAGGGCTGATAGGAGATGTCTCTGGGAAGGACAGCCTATTCTCATCCTTATCTTACGAACCCAGGATCTGCCCTATTGTAAAAAGTCCAGATACTACAATCACCATTATATGGCACAGGAAAAACCATTCTGTTCCAGCAGCACCCAGCTTGGCACCGTAATTGGGACCCCAATTGAACCCAATTGTGCAGTCAAAATGGAATCAAGCAGGGTGTGTCTGTTTATATATTTTTTTTTTCTTCTCATTCCATATTTTTCTGACACATTTCTTCATGTTTTTTGACATTTTTTTTCTCTCTTATTTCACTAATCATTTGGTTTTGCATATCCAGGAGATAAATAAGTAACATGGAAGATGTTTTATGGCATGTTGAAATGTGTTAATTACACAGGTTTTTTTGGTAATGATCACAATTAATTAAATGAAGGGTGGGTCTTTCAAATTACTTCCCTTCCTCCCACAAGCAGTGATAAGATTTCCAGTAGGAGGAGTAAAGTAGCAGGGTAAAATATGTTTGGTTTGCAACCCTGATGACCAGTTTTCTCACATGATCTTGGCACCTCATTTATTCTGTGCATCCTTCTCCACACATTTTCTTTCTCTTCCCTCTAAGTGTAAAAGGCTTTGAATCGTAGAATCACAAAGGTTTGGGCTGAAAGGGACATTAAAGATCATGGATCAGGGAGTTCCAACTCCCTGCCATGGGCAAGGACACCTGGACCAGGTTGCTCCAAGCCCCATCCAGCCTGGCCATGGACATTTCCAGGAATGGGGCACCCACAGCTTCCTTGAGCAACCTGTGCCAGTGTCTTGTCACACTCTGGATAAAGAATTTCATTCTAACATCTCATCTAAATCTCCTTTTTTAGTTTAAAACTGTTCCCCCTTGTCCATCACTACCTGCCCTTGTAAAAAGTCCCTGTGGCTCCTTTTTTTTACAAAAGGGGAAGGCTGCAGTGAGACCTGCCCTGAGGCTTTGGGCTGGAGGCTGTCCCCTCCTGGGTGTTTGGATGTCCAGCCTGGCAGGGTCCTGAGCTCAGCTGGGTTCTTCAGCTCTCCCAGGGCAATAACCCATCATAGCAACAGCAAACAGAAAGTCCTCAGTTAATGTTTGCTCCCTGGGGATGCCTGCTCTGCTGAGCTCTGTCCCATATAAAACCAAAGTCCTTTCCCACATAATAGATATATTTCTTTATATAATTTATCTTGCTAATATATCTCGCTCTAAATCAAATAAGGGTGTGAGATGAGAAGAATGACTTTCAAAGCTCCCTTTCCTGTGCTCTGAGCCAGCAGTTTCCAAAATATGGGGTCTGAGAACACTTACAGCAACAGTCCTGACCCCACCTAGTCCTTGGAAGTAAATGGGAAGCATCCTTGTGCTGTGGCTCCAGGTGCCCTGATGTTTGCCTGGAGAATCCCTGGTGGATCCATGGCTGTGGACCTGGCATGGAGAAGGGCTGGAACTGGGACTATTTTATAAAGAAGAGTGAGAGAAATCCTTTCAGCTGGGCTCTGAGCACAGGTTGGGAGTGTGTCTGTGTGGGTGTGGATTTACAGCCCTCCTGGGCCACTTTGGTAACTGGGCACAGCCAGCATTGCCACATTGCAGTGCCACTGTGGGCAGGAGAACCTGCGGTGCCCTGGCAGTGCCCCCAGTGACACATGGAGGTGCAGGAATGTGGCCTGCTGGCTCACAGCACGTGCCTGCTCCTTGACACCCCGTGCAGGCACACCTTTCCCAGGGAAAGATTTATTTAGGTTTTTTGTCATCAGGATAACAGCAGTGGGCACAAGTCAGCAGAGGCAGAGCTTGTCCTTGCAGCTCTGTGGAGGCAGGCTAGCCCAGGCTCTGCCCAGCCTGGCTTTTGATCCCATCTGGCTGTGGGAGCTGGACAGGCTGTATCCCACAGGATGTGAACCCGTGCCTGTACTTGTGGTGCCAAGCTCTTGGGAGGGTTGGAGGGACACCTGTAGGTGCTCTGGACACATCTGAGCCTGCAAATCAAGGAGAGAGATGAGTACTGACTCCTACAAAGTCCTAAGCTGTAACATCAAGGAGGTCCATTTTCATAAAATCATAGAATGGTTTGGGTTGGGAGGGACTTGAACATTTCCAGGGATGGGGCAGCCACAGCTTCTGTGCCAGGGCCTCACCACCCTCACTGTAAGGAGTCACTGGCTAATCTAAACCTGCCTTCCTGCAGTGGGAAACCATTCCCCTTTGTCCCATCACTCCAGGCCCTTTGACAAAAGTCCTTCCCCAGATCTCTTGAAGCTCCTGTAGGTATTGAGAAGAGCTCTGATGTCTCCCTGGAGCTTCTCTTCAGGTTGAACACCCCCAGCTCTCCCAGCCTGTCCCCAGAGCAGAGGGCTCAGCCCTTGGAGCAGCTTTGTGGTCTCCTCTGGGCTTGCTCCAGCAGATTCACATCCTTGGAGGCCCTGGAGCTGCAGTCCTGCAGGTGCTGTATCATGAGAGCAGAGGAGAGGGACAAAATCACTTCCCTCAAACTTCTGGTCGTGTTTCTCCTTGCCTTTCTCTTTTACTGATCCTGTGATACCTTCCATTATGAGTTTTCTGAGTGAGCATTGTGTTTTGAGTTTCATTCTGGAGCTTTTGACTTCACCAGGCTGCTCTGGGTCCAGGAGCAGAGTGGATCAGCCCTGACTCGTGTTGTGGCCTCTGGCAAGCTCTGTCACCATGTCTGCCTTCTCACTTGGTCCAGTGTGAGGGCTGTCACAGCCCAGGAGGAGTGCAGGGTCATGATTTGAGACCCAAAATCAGGGACTTCAGGGTGAGTCTCTGCAGAGGGTCACCCTTCCTTGCTAACAAACACTGATTTTGCTCTCCAGGACAAAGCCTTTCTAAAGCTGCAGATAAACTCCCTTTTCAGGATGGAAAAAAGGATGAGCAGAATGGAAACTGGGAGGTTGAGCAGCAGGTCTAATCTCATCTGCAGCATTGCTGGCAGCGATGGATCCACCTCAGAGGAGGGAAGTCTGGATAGTCTAAGGGTCATGTTTTTCTTTGGATAGTTTCTTGTTATTCCCGTTGGTATTCCTATGACCACGTGGAAAAGCTATTTGTAAACCATTGTGTGATGGAGTCCAGTAGATAAAACTGGGGACTGCCAAGGTTAGACAGGAGAATCTCAGATATTTGAAGTTCAAAAACCCCACTTATCAGGGTTGTGACAGGAACAGATGTTGCCTGGATCAGATACATGGGCTATAAGCAGTACCTTCCTCTGTTGTCTTTATTTTAAACAACTATGAATTTAAATTAGATGCTGTCTTCATAGCTGCATTACCCAAACGTGGCTTTGGGGATAAGCTGTCCTCCCA